AAGGGAGCAACTGAGAGAAGTTCAATGTTAAGGTTTGCATACATTTGAATCTCAGACACAGATATTCAGCCTTGCCATGCTCAGGCCAAAGTCCGTTCATCCTCAGTGGTCATTACAGGAGGTACAATGACCGTGGCCAATACCGACATATTGTATGGTGGCCTCTTGTTACTGACGTGTCAGACTGTGGGATGATCTGCACTACTGGTTGTGTTGTCTTGTTGCAAGGATTCTTGGGTAACTAATGTGGAGTCTCGTTCAGGAGAACCTCTGATGTGATATTTTGTAGTAGGGTGGCATTTTTTGAGGTTGACCCTTGCTGAGATGCAGGTGTGAAGGCAGGCCTAACTGACTCATTGAGCCTAACAACGGGTCATCTTGTTGCTGAATGAGCCTACTGACATAATTTCTGCTGCCAGGTGGCCTTTAGTTCCTGACATTATATATTGTTTCTTGCTACATGGGTTCCTTTTTTTAGACCTGTCTTGTTGCAGAGTGAACTTACTGATGTGTTGTCTTGTTTCCGGGTGGCTTTGTGTAGGAGGGACATTCACTGGCATGTTATCCTAAGGTAGAGCGGTCTTCCATTTCCCGACTTGTGGCCTTCTGATAGGGTGTTCCCTCACTGACATTGCAGGCTGATCTTCCTTTTACTGACCTCTAGTCTCGTTGCTTAGTGATTCCTAATTTACCTGCATAACTGGGTGGTGTTCAATTTACTGATATATGTCCTCATTGTAGGCAAGTCCTCCATTTAGCGATGTGGCTTCTTTGCAAGCTGAAAATTGGTGTCCTCTTTGTGGGTGGGTTCTTCACTTCCTCATTGCAGGTTAGTCTTCCATTTATTGATGTAGCTTCACTGCAGGATGGTTGGTAGGTGTCTTTATTGTGGACGGGTTCTTCATTCACTGACATGTGTCCTCATTGCAGGCTGGTTGGTAGGTGTCTCTATTGTGGACGGGTTCTTCATTCACTGACATATGTCCTCATTGCAGGCTGGTTGGTAGGTGTCTTTATTGTGGACGGGTTCTTCATTCACTGACATATGTCCTCATTGCAGGCTGGTTGGTAGGTGTCTTTATTGTGGACGGGTTCTACCTTCACTGACATATGTCCTCATTGCAGGCTGGTTGGTAGGTGTCTTTATTGTGGACGGGTTCTTCACTTTCTCATTGCAGGTTGGTCTTCCATTTATTGATGTAGCTTCACTGCAGGCAGGTGGTAGGTGTCTTTATTGTGGACGGGTTCTTCATTCACTGACATATGTCCTCATTGCAGGCTGGTTGGTAGGTGTCTTTATTGTGGATGAGTTCTTCATTCACTGACATATGTCCTCATTGCAGGCTGGTTGGTAGGTGTCTTTATTGTGGACGAGTTCTTCATTCACTAACAAGTGTCCTCATTGCAGGCTGGTTGGTAGGTGTCTTTATTGCGGACGGGTTCTTCATTCACTGACATATGTCCTCATTGCAGGCTGGTTGGTAGGTGTCTTTATTGCGGACGGGTTCTTCATTCACTGACATATGTCCTCATTGCAGGCTGGTTGGTAGGTGTCTTTATTGTGGACGGGTTCTACCTTCACTGACATATGTCCTCACTGCAGGCTGGTTGGTAGGTGTCTTTATTGTGGACGGGTTCTACCTTCACTGACATATGTCCTCATTGCAGGCTGGTTGGTAGGTGTCTTTATTGCGGACGGGTTCTTCATTCACTGACATATGTCCTCATTGCAGGCTGATTGGTAGGTGTCTTTATTATGGACGGGTTCTACCTTCACTGACATATGTCCTCACTGCAGGCTGGTGGTAGGTGTCTTTATTGTGGACGGGTTCCTCATTCACTGACATATGTCCTCATTGCAGGCTGGTTGGTAGGTGTCTTTATTGCGGACGGGTTCTTCATTCACTGACATATGTCCTCATTGCAGGCTGGTTGGTAGGTGTCTTTATTGCGGACGGGTTCTTCATTCACTGACATATGTCCTCATTGCAGGCTGGTTGGTAGGTGTCTTTATTGTGGACGGGTTCCTCATGCACTGACATATGTCCTCATTGCAGGCTGGTTGGTAGGTGTCTTTATTGCGGACGGGTTCTTCATTCACTGACAAATGTCCTCATTGCAGGCTGGTTGGTAGATGACTTTATTGCGGACGGGTTCTTCATTCACTGACATGTGTCCTCATTGCAGGCTGGTTGGTAGGTGTCTTTATTGTGGACGGGTTCTACCTTCACTGACATATGTCCTCATTGCAGGCTGGTTGGTAGGTGTCTTTATTGTGGACGGGTTCTTCATTCACTGATATATGTCCTCATTGCAGGCTGGTTGATAGTTGTTCTCATTGTGGGCAGCACAGTGACTAAATGGTTAGCACTTCTACCTGGCAGTACTCGGGTCGTTGGTTCAAATCCCACCCATGGCACCACCTGCCTGGAGTTTGCATGTTCTCCCTGTGCCTGTGTGGGTTTCCTCCGGGTTCTCCAATTTCCTCCTACACTACAAAGACATGCTGTTAGGTTAATTGGACCCTGGCTAAATGGTCCCTAGTATGTGTATGTATGAATGTGAGTTAGGGACTTTAGATTGTACACCCCCCGAGGGTTAGGGACTGATGTGATTGTGCATTATATATGTAAAGCGCTGCGTACATTGTTGTCGCTATATCTACCTGTACCTGTAATAAATAAATAAATAAACTGTAGGTGGGTCCTTCCCTTACTGACATATGTCCTCATTGCAGGCTGGTCCTCCATTTATTGATGGGGCTTCATTGCAGGCTGGTTGATAGGTGTCCTAATTGTGGGTGGGTTCTTCATTTACTGACATGTGTCCTCATTGCAGGCTGGTCCTCCATTTATTGATGGGGCTTCATTGCAGGCTGGTTGATAGGTGTCCTCATTGTGGGTGGGTTCTTCATTTACTGGCATGTGTCCTCGTTGCAGGCTGTTCCTCTATTTATTGATGGGGCTTCATTGCAGGCTGGTTGATAGGTGTCCTCATTGTGGGTGGGTTCTTCATTTACTGACATGTGTCCTCATTGCAGGCTGGTCCTCCATTTATTGATGGGGCTTTATTGCAGGCTGGCTGATAGGTATCCTCATTGAGGGTGGGTTCTTCATTTACTGACATGTGTCCTCATTGCAGGCTGTCAATGTGGGTGGGTTCTTCATTTACTGGCATGTGTCCTCATTGCAGACTGTTCCTCCATTTATCGATGGGGCTTCACTGCAGGCTGGTTGATAGGTGTCCTTATTGTGGAAGGGTTCTTCATTTGCTGACTTGTGTCATTGCAGGCTGATCCTCAGTTTATGAATGTAGCTTATTGGCTTATTTGCAAGCTGGTTGGTAGATGTCCTCATGGTGGACTGGTCATCCACTCATTGACATGGCTTTTTTGCAGGCTAGTTGATAGGTGTCCTAATGGTCCTCCATTTGTTAACATGACTTCTTTTTAGCAGAATTGATAGGTGTCCTCGCAATGGGCTGGTCCTCCATTTATTGACATGACTTCTTTGGAGCAGAATTGATAGGTGTCCTTATGGTGGGCTGGTCCTCCACATATTGACATGACATTTTTGCAGGCTGGTTGATGAGTGTCCTAATGGTGTGCTGGTCCTCCATTTGTTGACATGACTTCTCTGGAGCAGAATTGATAGTTGTCCTCACAGTGGGCTGTTCCTCCATTTATTGACCTGACTTCTCTGGAGCAGAATTGATATGTCTTTATGGTGGGCTCATCCTCCATATATTGGCATGACTTTTTTTGCAGGCTGGTTGATACATGTCCTCAGGGTGGGATGGTTCTACATTTAATACTGTGACTACTTTTGCTGGTTGATAGGTATCTTCATGGTGCACTGGTCCTTCATTTATTGACATGGTTTCTTTGGAGCAGAATTGATAGGTGTCCTCATGGTGGGCTGGTCCTCTATTTATTGACATGACTTCTTTGCAGGCTGGTCGATAGAGTCTTCATGGTGGACAGGAACTCCCATTTATTGATATGGCTTCTTTGGAGCAGAATTGATAGGTGCCTTCACAGTTTGCTGGTCCTCCATTTATTGACATGGCTTCCTTGGAATGTAAATTGATAGGTGCCTTTATGGTGGGCTGGTCCTCCATATGTTGACATGACTTTTTCGTAGGCTGGTTTATAGGTGTCCTCATGGTGGGCTGGTCTTCTATTGACATGACTTCTTTGCAGGCTGGTTGATAGGGTCTTCATGGTGGACTGGAACTCCCATTTATTGGCTTGGCTTTTTTGGAACAGTATTGATAGGTGTCTTCATGGTATGCTGGTCCTCCATTTATTGGCATGGCTTTTTTGGAGCAGTATTGATAGGTGTCTTCATGGTGTAGTGGTTCTCCATTTATTGACATGGATTCTTTGGAGCAGAATTGATAGGTGTCCTTACGGTGGGCTGGTCCTCCATTTATTGACGTGGCTTTTTTGGAGCGTAAATTGATAGGTTTCCTTATGGTGGGCTGGTCCTCCATTTATTGACATGACGTCTTTGCAGGCTAGATGACAATTGTTCTTGTGGTGGGCTAGTCCTCCACTTATTGACATGGCTTCTTTGGAGTAAAATTGATAGGTGTCCTTATGGTGGGATGGTCTTCCATATATTGACATGACTTCTTTGCAGGCTGGTTGGTAGGTGTCCTCATGGTGGGCTGGTCCTCCATATACTGACATGGCTACTTTGGAGTAAAATTGATAGGTGTCCTCATAGTAGACTGGTCTTCCATATATTGACATGACTTCTTTGCAGGCTGGTCGGTAGGTGTCCTCATGGTGGGCTGGTCCTCCATATACCGACATGGCTACTTTGCGGGTTGGTTGATGGGTGTCTTCATGGTGGGCTGGTCTATTCACTGACATGTGTCCTCATTGCAGCCTGGTCCTCTTGCCGCTGGCAGAGCTTCCTCCCCCTTCCCAGAACCTCTTGCTGCTGGTGGATTCTGTGGATGAGACATGCTGCTGTTGTCGTTCAGATGGATTTGGGTCGGAGTCTAGCTGCACCATCGCGGAGTTGCTGGCCAATCACCATGAGCTGCTCCCACCATGGCTGCTGCTGGTATGCACGGCACGGAGGCAAAACAAGACCATCACCAGGATGTTTACAGGTGAGTAGATATCCGTGTGACATGCATGACTTTCTTACTGCAGTTATTTCACAACATACTACAAAGCAAAGTGATGTTACTGTTACCTGTAGAAACCAGTCATACATCTCCTTGATTGCACCCTAACCCTGGATGTGGCAACTGCATTAGTTTCTTTTTTTAGGTTTTTTTCCTTTTTCACCTGGTGATTCTGCCAGTGACACGCCTCTTGTCTTAGGGTGACCACGCTCACTCTTCATACTGTATCTACGGAAGAGCAGTGTTGTCACCCTTCACACTCATAAGTTGGAGGTGTTTTATAGTCCACAGAGGAGAATCAGGCAAGGCTGATAACACCACAGAGTACTCGGTACAGCACTGGATTTCTTCCAGGATAAATTTCACAGTTACTCCAGCCACGCCAGCCACACAACAGTTACTCAAGCCACTCCACCCAGTTACTCCACCCGCTCCAGTTGTAGACTACTGGTGGAGGCAAGAACACTTCACACAATTGCCCCAGAAATTGTAGCTTTTCTAGTTTAAATATATTCTTCAGATTTTTTTAACATATAAAAAAGTAATTTTAACATATATTTTTACATGTATTTGTAAGTACATTTCAAATATTTAGATTTGTATTTTTAAAGACACACAGTATATTTGAAATGTATTTTTACAAATATATTTCATGTATTTTGTAATATAAAATGCATTTAAACATGCAGTATATATATATATATATATATATACAGTTGTGTTCAAAATACTAGCAGTCAGACATCACTAACTGGATCAATCACTGTTTTTGGTAGAAATGATATTTCTACATGGCAAATAATTTCCTAGCAGGTGTAGTAGAGTCATAGAAATCCAACAGACCCAACAGTCATGACATGCATGCTGCTGATTCTGTGTCATTGAATCACTCATTGAGGGGCGTGTTCAATATAATAGCCGTGTGGAGTTCTAATAGTGAGGTCATTCATTCTTTGAAAAACAGGTGGCAATTATTGCCCTTATTTAAGGAAGGAAGGCAGCAAATGTTGGACATGCTGGTTACAGTGCATTTCTCTCTGAAATTCTGAGGAAAATGGGTCGTTCCAGACATTGTTCAGAAGAACAGCGTACCTTGAGTAAAAAGTTGATTGGAGAGGGGAAAACATATAAAGAAGTGCAGAAAATGATCGGCTGCTCAGCTAAAATGATGGCAAATGCTTTAAAATGGCAACCAAAACCTGAAAGACGTGGAAGAAAGCGAAAAACTACCATTGTAATGGATAGAAGAATAGCCAAAATGGCGTAGACTCAGCCAACAATCAGCTCCAGGAAGATGAAAGAAGGTGTAAAGTTCCCTGTGAGGACTGTTACAATTAGAAGACGCCTATGTGAAGCCAAGCTATCTGCAAGAAGTCCCCGCAAAGTCCCACTGTTGGGAAAAAGACGTGTGCTGAAGAGGTTACAATCTGCCAAAGAGCACATTGACTGGCCTAAAGAGAAATGGCGCAACATTTTGTGTACTGATGGAAGTAAGATTGTTCTTTTTGGGTCTAGTGGGCGGAGACAGTTTGTCAGACGACCCCCAAACACTGAATTCAAGCCACAGTACACTGTGAAGACCGTGAAGCATGGTGGTGCAAGCATCATGATATGGGGATGTTTCTCATACTACGGTGTTGGGCCTATTTATCGCATACCAGGGATCATGGATCAGTTTGAATACATCAGAATACTTGAAGAGGTCATGCTGCCTTATGCTGAAGAGGAAATGCCTTTGAAATGGGTGTTCCAACAAGACAACGACCCCAAACACACCAGTAAACAGGCGACATCTTGGTTCCAGACCAACAAGATGGACGTTATGGAGTGGCCAGCCCAATCCCCGGATCTTAATCCAATAGAAAACTTGTGGGGTGACATCACAAATGCCGTTTCTGAGGCAAAACCAAGAAATAGAGAAGAACTGTGGAATGTGGTCCAATCATCCTGGGCTGGAATACCTGATCACAGGGGCCAGAAGTTGGGGGACTCCATGCAACACAGATGTACAGCAGTTCTCAGAAACAGTGCGACTACAACCAAATATTCATGAAGTCATTCAAAGGAAAGCAAAATCTTCAAACATTTCTCAGTTTATATAGTGAATGTTTGAGTTTGTAAAGAAGAATACAAACACTGCGATTTGTTTGAACCGTCTAATATTCACTTTTGTTCCATTTTATTTTAGAGGAACAACACAAATTTGATGTATTTTTCTTCATGTTTTGATTTGGAATAGAATGTGTCGTGTTCCCAATGCATTTGTGTGGATGGAAATAAAAGCTATTAGAAGGATTTTCAGCTTTATTCACTTTTTTTTTCAACACACTGCTATTATTTTGAACACAACTGTATATATATATATATATACTGTATATACACATACATACACACACATACATTGCATGTTAAAATGCGTTTTTATATGTGTATATATATATATATATATATATATATTTTTTTTTTTTTTTTTAAATATATTGAATACGGTCAAAATTGTAGCATTTCAAATAATTTTTTTTTCCATATGGATACATGTGTTAATTTGCTTGTAGTTGAATGGGGAACCCGAGTAATAATCTTGCAGAGGGACCCCTTTGTAGCTTTTATGTCCCTGAGATGCAGAAATGTCCTTTTTGGCTGCAGTTTACCGTTGAATACAACCCAAGTCTCCGTTCTTTATTGCAGGTATAAGAAGCGTCATTTATTAGCGGATATACATTATTCCCATAGTATATGTAGTGTGGTTTGCAGATCCCGTTGGTAAATATCGTCCTTTTGTTTTCTGCAGGTTTCCGGAGACTGTGCCTTGACGACCTCCGCAAAGCGCACATTGTACGTGACGTTCAGCAGTACATCCTGTGCCGCCTGGACTACGAGGAGACTCTGCGGCAGCACCTGACCCTGGACACTGCCGAGATGCTCAACCAGCTTCACATAAAGAGCAACGGGTGCTTTCTGTACCTGGAGCGTGTACTGGATGGGGTGTCCGAGGGCTCCATCCTCCTCCGAGAGGTCCGTCATATCCCCGGCACCCTAAATGGGCTATACCCTGTGGTTGTGCCAACGCCTGTTCTCTGGGCGCCAGTTCTGTCAGGTGCAGACACTGCTGAACGCCATCCTGGCATCACCTTTCTCCGCTTTCGCCTTCCCAGCTGCACAGAGCCGTGTGGACAAAACAGATGAAAGGCTGGAGCGCCGAGGACTTCAACAAGGTCCTGGAGTCCATCTCCTCCCTGCTTCGCCCGCCGGGGGTCTCTCGGAGCTGGGTGGTGCTCTTCCATCACAGCTTCTCAGAGTGGCTGCTGGACGTCAAGTATTGCACACAGAAGTATCTCTGCAGTGTATCTGAGGGCCACAGTATGCTGGCCATGAGCTTATCAACAAAGGCTCCTGATCTGTCCCCTGGGGAAATCCAGCAACTCGCCAGGCACCTCTTGCTGTCTGATCTCCGAGGGCTAGATCCTTCTCACCTGGCACTGTGGCTTTTGTGGACTGGGGTGCCCGTGTCGGATTGCTTGGCCTCAGACATTCCTCTAGAACTGGAAGTTCTGCAGCTGCTGCTCTTGGCCAGATCCAAAGTAGATGGAATTTCAGCTGTAGAAGACTCTGGAGCTCTGAGAAGGACCCTAGAGCGTGGCGGATCTATGGAAATATTATTGGATGGTGGAGGTAGTCTCAACAAACGGGATCGAGCAGGACGGACCTTGCTGGCTGCAGCAGCCCATGCTGGGAATCTGGAAGCTGTGACCCTTATGATTTCCAGAGGAGCCAATCTAGAGTCCACAGATGAAGATGGGCAAACGCCTCTAGGCCTGGCAGCTCACCAGGGCCATCTCTGGGTGGTTGAGCTCCTACTGCAACATGGTGCCTGTCACAATCACACAGACAGTCGGGGGTGGACGCCCCTGCGGGCTGCCTCTTGGGGAGGCCACACAGATGTGGTGGAAGCACTACTTGCGGCTGGAGCTCAACCCGACATCTCTGGTTGTGACGGACGCACTGCGCTCAGGGCAGCGGCCTGGGGAGGGCATGAGGGGCCAGTGAAGGCCCTGCTAAGAGCTGGAGCTGGGATAGACCAGGCTGATGTGGAGGGCAGGACTCCCCTTATGGCTGCCGCATATATGGGCCATCGTGCAGTGGCAGAACTTTTGCTGGAATCTGGGGCTAATGTGAATACATGTGATTTAGAGGGCCGGACTTCCCTTGCCGTAGCCTGTCTGTGTATGCCCTCTGGGAACACGTATCCAGAAATGGTATCTCTGCTACTGGAACATGGTGCAGATCCAGAGCTGCGTGATAAAGAAGGGGTCACACCACTACTGGTGGCTGCTTACGAGGGGAAAGAAGAGGTAGCGGAGCTTCTGCTAGAGGCTGGTGCTGTCCCTGATAGACCTGGCAAAGGTCATATGACACCACTCCTTGCAGCTGCCTTAGGGGGCCATGCTGAAACGGTCCGGGTCCTGCTTCTGTGGGGTGCTGCAACTGACATTATGGACAGCGAGGGGAGGTCGGCGCTCCTCCTGGCAGCTGCTGCTGCTGGAGGAGAAGAGGCTGTCAGGGTCTTGCTGGACAGGGGCCTTAACGAGAACCACCAAGACCTTCTGGGATGGACTGCACTGCACTGGGCAGCCTGTGAAGGACGGAAAAATATCTGCCGCACCCTGACAGATGGAGGAGCCAAGCTGGGCATGAGAGACAGAGAGGGGAACACCCCGCTCCTGCTGGCAGCTCAGGAAGGGCACACAGGCTGTGTTGATTTACTGATTAACCGTGGGTCCCTGGTAGACCAACGTGGCAGTGACCAAATGACGGCTTTATGCTTTGCTGCGCTTGGGGGCCACAAAGGCACAGTGAAATTACTACTGAAAAAAGGAGCAGACCTTGATGTCAAAGCCAGTCACGGAAAGCCCCTCCTGTACCTGCTGGCCCTGCAAGGACTGACAGACGTGGTCGAAATTTTGTTTGACCATGGAGCCAACCCTGAGGTAAGAGACTGGGAGGAACGCACGGCGTTGCACGCCTCCTGCTGGCAAGGAGACTGGGAAATGGCAAGGATTCTCCTACAAAAGGGCAAAGCCAACTGCAATGCCTTTGACAAGGAAAGAAGGACTCCTTTACACTGTGCCGCATGGAGAGGGCATGTCAATATCGCCCACCTTCTTCTAGAGAATGGGGCTTTTGTTGATGCACAGTGCTCACAAGGTGCTACCCCCCCTCTGTATCGCTGCTCAAGAGGGACATGAAGAGCTGGCCCGGGTGCTTCTGGAGGAGGGCAAGGCCAGCCCCTTCCATGCAGACCATTATGGCCGGACGCCAATAAGGGTTGCAGCCAAAGGTGGACACATGGCAATTGTAAATCTCTTGGAGAAACATGGCGTTCCACCATACCAAGGCTTGATAGGAAAGCGTCCAGAGAAAGACACTATTCAAAAAGAAGTGGTGGAAGGGAGTGGTGGTAGCTGGTCTACCCTTTCTCCAGTTTCCACAGGTAGCCAATCACTGGATAACTCCCTAAAGAGCTCCAAAGGATCAATATTAACCTCATCCACCTACCACTCCCAGGCAACTGTGCCAGCAGACAGTCTGACTTTTACTCAGCAGGTTCAGCAACACTCTCTTCCCCGCAGCCGTTCACGCCAAGCCGTGGCCCTCACTGGCATGCTTGGTGGTCAAGTCCTTCCTGAATTTAAATCCATTCAAATTTCAGCTGCATCAGGCTTAGATCAGACCTCCAGCCCACATCATGTTCTGCAGAGATCAGAAGTGGTTGGTGTGCACTCTCAGAACCCAAGTTCCCCGGACCGTGAGTTAAAAAGGAACGGGATTCTCACAAACCCAAAATATGGAAGCCCCACCTATTCTCGTTTCAAGGCAGATTATGTTCCTCCTTCAAACAGGAATGCTAGCTCCAGGTCATACCGCAGGACAGCAGACCCTGGGGATGACCAAAACAAGAGTTCTGGATACTCTTCAAGCCAAGCTGGCACCGAGCAGGAACTCTACTACAAACAAACTGCAGACTCTGCAGAAAACAATAAAAATATTGTGCAATTCGCGCCATTAAAATTGGGAAACCGGTGACTTCACCCCAGATAATTGGGACTTCTGCATCTTCTCCAAAGAGGAATCCAACTCCTATGACCCCCTCCAAGAAAACTGTGGAACCTGTTTATTCCCCGAATAAGCCTCCAAATCCTATATCCCCCACTTCAAGGTGCGAGGACCCGGTCTACTCTGCTAAGAAGCCTTTGGACTTTGTATTCTCTCCTATGAGAACTGCAGATGGTGCATCCTCGCCCAATAATACCACAGAGGAACCACAGTTTTGTAGGACCAGGGACCAAACTGGATCGCCAAGTCCACTGAACTCACCAGTTATCTCCATGACCACTATGGACCCTCAGCTCCACCTCAAACAAGCCATCAAGCTGCAGTTCGAGGGCCGCACATGCGGGTTTACCTACAGGAAGGAAACTCCGCTGTGAGGTGGGTATGGTAACTGCCAATCAGACCTAGATCTAGAGATAGACCTACTTGGGAGTCCCAATTGGACCTAGATCTACTTGGGTGTCCCAGCTGGACCTAGATCTACTTGGGTGTCCCAATTGGACCTAGATCTACTTGGGTGTCCCAATTGGACCTAGACCTTTTTCGGTGTCCCAACAGGACCTAGACCTACTTCGGTGTCCCAACTGGACCTAGACCTACTTCGGTGTCCCAATTGGACCTAGACCTACTTCGGTGTCCCAATTGGACCTAGACCATGGCTTAGGCCTACTTGGGAGTCCCAATTGGAACTAGATCTAGAGCTAAACCTTCTTGGGGTGTCCCAATTGCACCTAGACCTATTTGGGTGTCCCAGTTGCACCTAGACCTATTTGGGTGTCCCAGTTGGACTTAGATCTACTTGGGTATCCCAAATTAACTAGATCTAGAGCTAAACCTTTGTGTGTCCCAATTGCACCTAGATCTTGACCTACCTGGGTGTCCCAATTGGACCTAGATCTAGACCTTCTTGGGTGTCCCAAGTGGACTTAGACCTACTTGGGTGTCCCAAGTGGACCTAGACCTACTTGGGTGTCCCAGTTGGACCTAGACCTACTTGGGTGTCTCAGATGGAACTAGATCAAAGCTAAACTTTTTTGGGTGTCCAAATGGGGCCTAGATTTAGAGATAGACCTACCTGGGTGTCCCAATTGGACCTAGATCTAGAGTTAGACCTACCTGGGTGTCCCAACTGGACCTACAGTATGTAGAGGTAGACCTACTTGGGTGTCCCAATTGGACATAGACCTTCTTGGGTGTCACAATTGGACCTAGACCTACTTGGGTGTCCCAATTGGACCTAGACCTTCTTGGGTGTCCCAATGGGACCTAGATCTTCTTGGGTGTCCCAACTGGACCTAGACCTTCTTGGGTGTCCCAATTGGACCTAGACCTACTTGAATGTCCTAGTTGGCCCTAGACCATCTACTTTGATATCCCAATTGGACCTCAACCTACTTGGGTGTCCCAATTGGATCTAGGCCTCGACATACTTTGGTGGCACAATTGGACCTAGACCTACTTGGGTGTCACAATTGGACCTAGACCTACTTGGGTGTCCCAACTGGACCTAGACCTTCTTGGGTGTCCCAACGGGACCTAGATCTTCTTGGGTGTCCCAACTGGACCTAGACGTTCTTGGGTGTCCCAACTGGACCTAAACCTTCTTGGGTGTCCCAATTGGACCTAGACCTTCTTGGGTGTCTCAATTAGACCTAGACCTACTTGGGTGTCCCAATTGGACCTAGACCTACTTGGGTGTCCCAAGTGGACCTAGACTAAGATGATTCTGGTACATAAAAACATCTGCCTGGCATTTCTGAAGACGTGGTCAAAAGAGCCACGAAACGCGTTGGAGGTTTTGTATATCTGTGTGCAAATATAAATGAGATTTTTCGTATATTGATGCAAAGTGCAAGGTTGTATATTCCCCTCCTTGGCTGTAAACCCCTTCCCCACATGTGTTGGAGATGAGGAGAGGGGGAGGTGTTCTGTAATCCTACCCTAGGGTGACCATGCTTCTCCTCCATAGATACAGTACAGTGTGTGAGTGTTGTCACCCTAGGACAGGAAGTGTCCTTCCCCACATGTGTTGGAGATGAGGAGAGGGGGAGGTGTTCTGTAATCCTACCCTAGGGTGACCATGCTTCTCCTCCATAGATACAGTACAGTGTGTGAGTGTTGTCACCCTAGGACAGGAAGTGTCCTTCCCCACATGTGTTGGAGATGAGAAGAGGGGGAGGTGTTCTGTATTTCTATCCTCGGGTGGCAGCGCTGCTCCTCCATAGATACAGTATAACGGGGTTCACCAACCAGTAGATCACGGTCAGGTGACTGGGTAGATCATGATCTGGGCTTGCTGACCCACCATCCCAGAGCATCAAACAGAGTGTAATGCAGAGGAACTACTTGGAAAGTAGGGAGCAGGAGCTGTCCCATGCAGAGTGATCCCAACTGCACTGTACTTCTTATCCCGGCTAGCGGTCTCCAGAGTGGTGCCAGCAGGAGGAAAGAAGAAGAGATCTTCAGGTCAGTGGGAAACAATACACTGGGCATAATAGTATAAGCCTGCTTTCACACTGGTGTGCTGCGGTCTACCCACACCACAGGTGCAGTGCAGGGTACCTGCATCTCTCCTGCGGGCTTTCTGTGCTTAGCCATAGACTTCTATTATATCCTGCGGGTTTGGTGCGCTTAGCTATAGACATCTATTATATCCTGCGGGTTTGGTGCGCTTAGCCATAGACTTCTATTACAGTATATCCTGCGGGTTTGGTGCGCTTAGCCATAGACTTCTATTATATCCTGCGGGTTTGTTGCGCTTAGCTATAGACGTCTATTATATCCTGTGGGTTTGGTGCGCTTAGCCATAGACTTCTATTATATCCTGCGGGTTTGGTGCGCTTAGCTATAGATGTCTATTATATCCTGCGGATTTGGTGCGCTTAGCTATAGATGTCTATTATATCCTGCGGGTTTGGTGCGCTTAGCTATAGACTTCTATTATATCCTGCGGGTTTGGTGCGCTTAGCTATAGACGTCTATTATATCCTGCGGGTTTGGTGCGCTTAGCTATAGACATCTATTATATCCTGCGGGTTTGGTGCGCTTAGCCATAGGCTTCTATTACAGTATATCCTGCGGGTTTGGTGCGCTTAGCCATAGACTTCTATTATATCCTGCGGGTTTGGTGCGCTTAGCTATAGACTTCTATTATATCCTGCGGGTTTGGTGCGCTTAGCTATAGACGTCTATTATATCCTGCGGGTTTGGTGCGCTTAGCTATAGACATCTATTATATCCTGCGGGTTTGGTGCGCTTAGCCATAGACTTCTATTATATCCTGCGGGTTTGGTGCGCTTAGCTATAGACGTCTATTATATCCTGCGGGTTTGGTGCGCTTAGCTATAGACATCTATTATATCCTGCGGGTTTGGTGCGCTTAGCCATAGGCTTCTATTACAGTATATCCTGCGGGTTTGGTGCGCTTAGCCATAGACTTCTATTATATCCTGCGGGTTTGGTGCGCTTAGCTATAGACTTCTATTATATCCTGCGGGTTTGGTGCGCTTAGCTATAGACGTCTATTATATCCTGCGGGTTTGGTGCGCTTAGCTATAGACATCTATTATATCCTGCGGGTTTGGTGCGCTTAGCCATAGGCTTCTATTACAGTATATCCTGCGGGTTTGGTGCGCTTAGCCATAGACTTCTATTATATCCTGCGGGTTTGGTGCGCTTAGCCATAGACATCTATTATATCCTGCGGGTTTGGTGCGCTTAGCCATAGACTTCTATTATATCCTGCGGGTTTGGTGCGCTTAGCCATAGACATCTATTATATCCTGCGGGTTTGGTGCGCTTAGCCATAGACTTCTATTATATCCTGCGGGTTTGGTGCACTTAGCTATAGACTTCTATTATATCCTGCGGGTTTGGTGCGCTTAGCCATAGACTTCTATTATATCCTGCGGGTTTGGTGCGCTTAGCTATAGACGTCTATTATATCCTGCGGGTTTGGTGCGCTTAGCTATAGACTTCTATTTTATCCTGCGGGTTTGGTGCGCTTAGCCATAAACTTCTATTATATCCTGCGGGTTTGGTGCGCTTAGGCATAGACTTCTATTATATCCTGCGGGTTTGGTGCGCTTAGCCATAGACATCTATTATATCCTGCGGGTTTGGTGTGCTTAGCCAT